AACAGTGGTCAAAGCAAGCAGAGTGATAGGAATTACCGGGAAAGAAATACAGAACAGAAACAAAACATACATGCATCTACTTCTTGAAGACTGTGTGCCATTTTCATATTGGCTCTAAAAACATCCAGGAAAGTCCAGCAAGGACGGAATGGCCCTTAAATGAGGAATGATAAGGGCCATTCAGCCTGGAAGAGATAACTGACAAGTGATACGATTAGGGTCCGTAAAATCCTGAATAGCATGTTAAAGTGAATAGAACAACGGTTCAGATTCAAACACAAGAGCTGGAGACTTCTGGATGACATGAAACCACACTTGTCATGTTCTTGTGCTCTTCTTGCACCTTCTCTATGGGTTACTGCTGTTGATCAATGCTGGAGCAGACTACCAGGCTACGCAGGCCTGTGATCGGACTCGCTATTGCCATTCTTGAGCACACCAAGCTTCAATGGGCACACCTGAGACTGAGCTGAGTCTTCATTCCTAAGACCTTGAGCTGTCAGACTGCCAGTGCTGAGGATCATGATTTCTGCCTTCAAAAAAACCCAACCCATCCTAGCAAGGTTTCTTCTGCGTGCAGACGTGGAAGACGCACAACCTCAGTATCATAGTTCAAAAAAACCCCAGTACTGATTCAATACAGAACAAGTTTAAGATTAAAGGGCATAAGGAAAAAATAGATGTAGAGAGGTTAAAGGAGGATCCCATCATGCCGGTGAAACAAGAAATTCAGGCTTTACTCAGAAATGGGTTCACATACAGAGAGATCAAACATCTCCTGAACGTGCATTTTGCTTTGAAGAACAAAGTGGGTCCTCAGCTGGCAGGATGGGCACCAAGGTGCCAACTGCACAAGTGCCGTGGGCTGGGAGGCCAGGAGCCCTTCAGCCCGTCACTCTCAAAGCAGGAATTCCTGCTGCATTTTCCCAGAGAGTGGCCCCCAAGCCTCTGCGATGACCTGACAGTGAAGGGTGCATCTGCTGTATGCAGACGCCTAGCCCCCCGGCCACTTTCCAGAGATCCATAGAAATGCCGAGGTTGGCAGGGACCTCGAAAGATCATCCTGTCCAACCTTTTGTGGGAAAGGCAGACCAGATGAGATTATCTAGCACCTTGTCCAATCACATCTTGAAAACCTCCAACAATGGGGACTCCACCACGTCCCTGGGGAGGTCGTTCCAGTGAATGATTGCTCTTACGGTAAAAAATTTCTTGTGTCAAGATGAAACCTCTCCCGGTGCAACTTGTACCCACTGCCCCTTGTCTTCTCTATGTGGCTCCTTGCGAAGAGATCTTTGTATTTTCACGTTTGTATTCCCTTTCTCCTACGACACAGAGCTTAGAGGGAGTGGCAGGTCATAGACGACCTTTCTTCTAGAGAGGAAAGGCACCCGGCATACGTTTTTGTGGGTAAAAATTGAACATGACACGGTATGTGAGGCTGAAAGGCAAAGCCATTAAGATTTTGTTTGACATGGAATGACAGAACGAACTGCAAAAATCTCAAAGGCAAGCCAGAGAAGCTGAAGTAATGAAGGAAAAAAAAAAAAACCCAGATGAGAAAGCTCATTCACAAAGCAGCCCCTGCCTCACACAGGGCTGCACATGCTTCGCTTCGTGTACCCATGTACCACTGGTGACAGAAGGTGGGACGTGAGCCTCTCTTCTGGGGGTACTGCATGGCAAAGCCTTCCCTGCTCCATGTGAAAGCTTGTACAACCAACTTCTGTATGTCCTTACAGACTGTCACTGAGAAGAGACTTTATCGCTTTGAACAAGAGCATGTCCATTGCTTTGGGGCTCCTGAGGTCGGAGCGGGCTGCCCCTCAAAGCCCGTCAGTGTTCATCTCCTGTCAGCTAGAGACCTACTGAGCGCAGAGAAATGCTTGGACGTGTTCCTGCCCCGTCCCTCGCTGCAGAGCCTGCTGTCAGGCTTGGCAGCAAAAATATTTCTAATTGTAATGCAATACAGTTGGAAAGTCTGAATTATATGGAACAATATATTGATACTCAGCGACTCTTAACAAACATGCACGCACTGGATTTTCCTAAGCCTCTAGCTCAGAGAAGCACCTGAGAAACCTGCTGAATGCAATCTGAAAGCTTTAGGACAGCAAAGCTCAGGACTGAGACAGAAGCGGTTTTACTGCTCCTCTGCTTGCCCTGCGCAGCTGCAGCCACACGCAACAGCTTTCAATTCCTCTTTGCCCTCAAACTCCAGCTCTTTGGCTGAATCCTTCCAGTTCATCGCGCCTCCAGCGCAAGTGGATGTCCCCGAGGGTGCGGGGACAGCACTGAGAGTGGGTGACCACCGCTCAGAGGACCACGCACCCTTCCCAGCTACCGCATGCCAGCGGCTGAGCTCCCCCGCAGGGCCCGACAGAGCCGCAGGGGGCTGATGCTGCCCTCCCAGATGGGCACCTTTGGGGTCAAACAGCACCTGCCTGGGGGAAGAGAATCCCTGAGAAAACTGGCTTTTTCTGAAAAATGCTTGCCATGTTAAATGGCTGCCCACTCTTCAGTTTTCTGCAAAACAAATTAGGGACTTACAAATCACATTTCCCTACGTTCCAGTGAAAATATTTTGGGGCCATACAGTACCTTAGAAATACTGTGCTTATGGGAATAACTACCCCAAAACAGCTGTCCTCCCCACATTGGTCAGGGACCCAGGGCAGGAGGGTCCCCCAAGGCTTCTCCAGTTCATGCACCAAACAGCAGTACGATGCCACCGACTCCAAATAACGCGTAAGTAACTACAGCTTCTGGCTGGCTCTTCTCCTTGCAGAAGAGGACGGGGAGCTGGGACGAGCCCTGCAGCGAGGGAGCGCAGGCGGTGAGCAGCCCGCTGGCGTGTCAAACAGGCTCTGAGCGCAGTTTAGTCAGGCCAAGACCGTAAGCTGAGAGTTTGTTAACGTGCTGGGAAAGGATCGCAAAAGTTCACCCGGCAAAAGCACAGACTGAAGGTGTCCTGCAGAAAACTGATCTGTCATTCTTCAGTAAGCCTTAGGGTTTTCAGTTGCTGAGGAAAATTCATGCATGGGAATTCACGCAAAAAATCTTCTACTGTAGATTTTAAGTTTATAACCCATTTTTCTACACGTCTAAAATGCCTACCAAACGCAGAGCCACGTGGAAGTGCCTGTGACCACAGCCTAATGACTGTTGCTCACGCAACTTAAAAAAATATGGTGCTTGCTGTGAAGTCTAACGGAAATACAACTTCTTGACTGCTAGAGAATAAGCCCTCGGAGGCTGTATAGCCCATTATGAAAAACTACAGCTCACTCAAAATCTGGATACTATGATATACTAGCATAAATAGAAGACACATGAACTTAAATAAAGGAAAAAGCAACATTTTTGGCTTCGTGTCTGCAGATTCCTTGGTAAATTGCATAATGTGATACTCAGGGAAACAGCTTCCTCATGAGTCACGAGCACAAGCAGGAATTGGCTGTATTTAGAAAAGCTGATATTTCTACCAAATCTTTAGCAGGAAGAAACAAAATGACATAACCCAAACAGAACTCTTTTTTAAAATATTTTCTGGCAGTTATTATGGGCGTGCGGCAGCAAAGCGCTTTCTGAAGGCAGTGCCGTGATCAGGCCACGGGTGTTAATTAAGGAAGCCTAGAGCCGCCGTCACAGCAAAGCTCTTATAGTAAAAGCAGGTAATGCCCTCCAACTGTGAACTGGTACTTCTGTGCATCCGGGCTCCCGAGGTTTTCCTCTATACTAAAAGATAATGCACAAAATGTTCAGGTATAGAACAGTGTTTTATTTCTTATTCCTGTTTTCCTAAGTATGGGCCATTGGCAGTGAACGCGTAGAAGTTCAATTACTCCAGATATTTTCCTTCACTGTCCTATTTAAGAAGACTTTATGGTGATATCCTATTTTAACCTTACTAAAATCTTCTAATCTATTTTCAGTAAATGACATTTTGCCAAATACAGTTACTTTTCACTTTGAAACTAATCTGGTCGAACAAAATTCTGACTGCCTGGGAGCCACGAGGGACCCACCGGTATGCGTGTGTGGTATAAAAATGCAAGACAAGCTGATCGTTGGCTAATGGAGAAGGATTATCCATAATCTTGCCCAGTTTGTTTCCCCCTTTTCCCTTAAAGTTCACTTTACCATCTGATTTTTTTCCCCCTTTTTTTTTCCTTTTTAATACAGCAAACTTTGGTTGGGTTTTGCTAGAGGAGAGACCTGTTACTGCAATGGCTCTCACAGAAGGTGTCAGTTATAGAAGCTAAACAAGATCCTTCTTTTTCAGGATGACTCTGGTTAGAAAGGGTACACCAGGGACATCGCAGACATTATAGGAAAATCCAATTTTGACAGCCATTTTCATTGTCAGAAGCCATGAAAGTGTGGGCAGCTCTATATTGGAACCAAATGCCTTTTATTTATTTGTACCAGCTTGCAAAGCCAGGTGTAGGCACTGATCGTGGTTCCACTCCAGTCAACTGAAGCTTTGCAGCTGATTACAGAAACACGACTAAGTTATAGATGTTTTATTTCCAGACACCATAAGGACAGACTATATTAGTAACCTTGAGCTCAGAAACAACCCTCGGTGTACAAATGAGGTGCGCACACAGACAACGATACTGAGCAGCTGTATTTCACGTTCATGGAGTGCATTACAACAAACCACTTGCAAGTTGTCCTACAAAACATACTACAGTGAAATGGTGATAAAAGCACCCAGAACTGAGACATTCACACTTTAAGTTTCAGGATGATTTAAAACAACACAGAACCCAAGGAGTCTTGGCAGTGTCCTTTTACAAGTACTGTATCCAAAAAAAGCTTTGTTTTTATCATCAAACTCCAAAGACGACAGCCGAGTAGCTGCTTCAAGGCCAAAGAAAAGGTATCTGTCTCACCTCTGATCGGCACAGAGAGACCCCAGCCAGAAAAGCACCCGCTTCATTCCCAAAAGCAAAAATCTGCTGCAGCTGCCCGCTGAAACAACCGCATCTTACCTTCAAGGGGAATTGCATAAAGCTGCTCCATGAACATCGCTGCTGCTTCTTAAGCTCCGCAGTCAATTCTGCTCCTGGCTTCCTCCCGCCTCCTGCTCACGCACAGATGTACAGGCAGTAATGCATGGGGCTTGTTTTTAAACTTTTTCCCCTGTGCTCCTGATTGGTCCCGTGTAATGCCCATGTGGGTCTACAAATGCACAAAGGTTTCTATCCTTTCTAAAATCAAAGTGTCAGTTTTGCTGCTGTCAGAGCACTTTATTTTTGTACATATAAGGAAGTAGCTGTTGATGTTATCTGAATGCGCTTCCTGTTTTATATGTATATGAGCAAAAATAATGTCACGTTAAGCTAAACTGCAGTCTCAAAGAGCTCAAGTCAAAGCCTCTAAGCAAAGTAATATGAGCATAGCTCATCTGTTCACCGTCTACCCCAGTTTGCATTCACCTCATTGATTTTTATTAGAATTCCGTATTCTCACAATAAAAACTATCCTCCCTAATCCTTAAAAAAGAAAAAAAAAGAAAAAAGAAGGAAAAAAAAAAAAGAAGCTGTACCCTGCACTAGCGCTGCTTCCTACCAGGACTCTCGGGATCGGTCGGATTACAAAGAGCTCGGTGGATGCTGACAACCCTATCTCAAACATCACACAGGTGAAAACGCAGCCAGCCGCCAAGCAATGCCACAAGACAATCCTGGCTGAAATTTGGGCTATTCTTGAATTTGAGTGAGTAGATTTTTTTTTTTTTTTTTTAAAAATGAGGAAGGAGGCTTTTGTGTATTTCATGTACACACAGACAGTCCAGGAAGTGGCCGGGTAGGAGTGCTGCATTCCAGAGCTGATGCTACACAGCTCAACTCTGAAGAAATCTTTTAAATTGGAATTTAATGTCTTTCTGGTTATTTTAAAAAAGAGCAAACGTACCAACTAAAAATAAAACTCGTTTTGAAGTAGAAACTCTTCTACTCTTGTGGAAGAAAACAGCAGTAAAAGGCATGGAGGCACCAAGGAGGAGAGCTGGCAGCATCAACACCACATCTTCTTATCCCCTGAAGTCAGAACTGCCATTGCCAGGAGGTCCTGCAAGGTGCAGGTTCATCCACTTCCACTTTCAAACGTTACCAACTGCAGAACTCGGAGATGAACCGCGGCTGGGAGTGAGCTGAAGCCATTTGCACTTTCTACTTTCATTATGCTTTTCACGGCAACTTCTTGGATATTAAATGCAAGTTAGTTTTTATACATAGCAAGATTAGAAAACTTCAGGTTTTGCTGGTGGAAACCAAAAGAATCTTTTCAGATGCATAAAGTAAATGAAATACTAAAAATGAAAGAAAATTGTCTTCCCCGTGGACTTCATGGCACAACTCTTATACGTATGTCTCTGAGACTGTCAGCTCTCTGAGTACAGCTGGTCTGCACTTTGAGAAGCTTAAACTGGTAGAAGTGTGGGTTCCACTTAGTGAAAATTACTGTCTCTAAAATAAGTTATAACGTGCAACCTAAGAAAGATGCCTTACCAATATTAGAATTTAAAAATGTTTCATGCAAAGATTTTTTTAACCATTTACCATCATAGTACCTTATTTTATCTCATTAAACAATTTTGGATCATTTAATTTTGGTGCAAAGTTACTTTACAGCCAAGAAACAGAGCTGGGAAGATAAACAAAGCATCTTATTTAGTGATGGAAGACTTGAGAGCTATCACAGCAAAATTAAGTAATGAGACCTAGAACTAGCAAAGTCCAACTTGCTGTACATTTATGTCCTGGCATCGACTGATTTGAATGTCTGCAAACAGGCAAGCTTCAGAAGTTTCTCTTGCAGCTGGGACAGCTGTATCGCCCTCATGTATTCTCACACGTCTACTAAAGCACGAGTTCAAGCTACAGCCTTTGGCACCGTTGGAGCAGCTATGGTGCCTCTTCTCCCTTCCCAGCCACCGAGCTTTGTGAAAAGCAGGAATGTAGTGATCTTTGTAGCCCCTCCAGCTACTCATTTAAGTTTGGATGAAATTAGTTTTAAAAACTACAGTTCAAAATCAGACCAAAATCAAGAGCCAAGCTTTGTTTCCAAACCTAAAAAATGATAATATCATAGGTGCACCCAACTCCGGACACGCTATTTGACCAGCTTGGTGGAAGTATGTGGGTTTCTGTAGCTAACGACAGAAGATGATACGATCAGCCTCACGTTCAGCCACGTTTAAGTTTCCCAGAACAAATAAGCAGGTTCCCATTTGCTGCCTGATCAGGGATGGCTTTTACTGAGAATCCCTAACAAGGCAGGTGCCTCCCGCACTTCAAGTGTCTTCATAGCTCCTCCACTGCACGCCACAGCTGCACCAAATATCAAACAAGCTTCCTGAAAAAGGAGGAATCAATCCAGGTATTAATTTAAATCTGTTGCCATTAAGCATCCTTCAGGAACTGAGTATTTCCCTACAGCAGCCTCCTGGCGCCAAGCTCTGCTATGAAAGCCTCCAACTCTGCCATTAACACAGGAGCCTTGGCTCTGCCCGCACCTCCCCTTCCGTAGTCATACCCTGGAAGGGAAAATGGCACCAAAAATTTGTAGGTTTTTTTGGAAGGTTAGTGTATCTTTGCTTTTTTTAAAGACATTTTTTGCAAAGAAGTCTCTTTTGTTTATGTCCTTCATTATGTATTTCTAAAATCCCTCATGGAACACATGGACTGACACAGACCTGTAACATCTAACAAGAGTCTCATACCAAACAGTCAGGATACCGTTTATTCAAAATGAACATGAGACATCTGAAGGTATTTATTTATTCAAGTGCACCAAACATGCCTAATTCTTTCAGCTTTTGTGCTTTCATTTTATATCTCTGAAGAAATCCTATGTTGCAGGGAAAAAAAAGAAAAAAAAAACCAAAAAAGAGATTGAGAAGACATTCCTACTGCTTCTTTGGAGCATTTTTGCTTTTGGAAAGGTGCTCGTCAGACATGCTTCAAAGTACTGGAGCTTAACGGACACGCGAGTGGCAGCAAGTCTAAACTATCTAGCTTGGAAAAAAAACCCAACAAACTGCTATCTGCTTGGATACCAAAATGATATGCTCATCGGTGAGAAGCACTGCAGGAGTCCCCGGGGAATCTCTAAAGCACTTGAGAGCCTCCCAGCGAGTGGGGTGGCAGAGGTGGCACCCAGGGACAGTCAAAGCAGCGCAGCACCGCTGCTCTCCAGCCTCACTGCCACAGCTGATGGAGCAAGACGAGAAAGAGGAAAGGGAGAATAACAGAGAAAGGAAATACGTGCTGCAAAACAGAAACTCAAGAAATGGCTAGCACAGAAAAAAGCCCTTGGGGAAAGCCCCCGGTGCGGTCACTCCCTTCCTACAGTGAATCACTGACACAGCAGCATCAACAGGCACTGAACAGGGCAAATTTGCCGGTGTGGGTGAATCTGCCCCCGTGCACTGCACAAGCCCATTTTCTTCTTTTGCCGTAAGAGGGAGCTTATCAGGAAAGAAAGTTCCAACAGCACACATTTCTCGAACCAAACTAACCTCCGTGGCTTTGGGGAGCGCTGCCAGCCGTGCTGGATGTACTGGGCACTCCTGCCCGCACCTCTGCTCCCCCGCATGGACCCTCCTGCCCGCCGGAGCAGGCTCACCCCAGTCCAGCTGGGCTCCCACCCACAACAGGAGGAGGGGTGCCTGAACTGGCAGGATTGGACCTTTTCTCGGTGAAATTCAGCTAATATCCCAAGCCAAAATCCAAGCTCTGCATGTGTGTAGTGCAAAAACAGCCATCCACAGGTTAAGAGAAACAAGAGGCTGTATTTTAGATGAGAGCAGCTGATTTAGCTAGGATCTATGCAAAGAAATGTATGTCCGTATTTCTATCCTCCCCGCCACAAAGCAAAATCTCAGTATTCTCACACATCTGAAGGTCACGCCAGAATCCAGGAGCACAGATTTCAGGACAGTGTATCATCATTGCCCTGCAACACGGCATAAAAGCAAAAGGTTGCTCACCTCCTCTCATAATGTAACAGTACAATGTACTTATAACTTCAGTCTTACCCAAATTGCTTAAAAAAATCCAACCCGCCCCATCAAAACCTTTTAAAGAGCAAAGCACCGGGTAACTTATTTATGCCTTTGAATGTTCTTTTGTGTAATATAGGCCAGAAAATTTTATTCTTGCACGAAGCTTCTGATTTCTAGCTCAACTAAGTAGTTTTGGAGGTTTTTTGCTTTTTTAAATAAAGAAAACATTTCTATCTACAAGGAAATTTCTAAAAAACTTCATGAGGTGTCACAGCAATACTCAACTTCATAAAAAGGAGAACCACACTAAAACACAGAAACAAGTTAAAAAGAAATTAAAAGGAGCATCTGAAAGGGTAAAACGTGCCAGTGGAAACTTCATGAGGTGTCACAGCAATACTCAACTTCATAAAAAGGAGAACCACACTAAAACACAGAAACAAGTTAAAAAGAAATTAAAAGGAGCATCTGAAAGGGTAAAACGCGTGCCAGTGGCAAAGACATCATTTAAATAAACCATAACAGATTCCTAGAGAAAGTGGTTATCACGTATCAGACATGACTCAAGAGTTAGAAATAAACTTGTCTGGTTTAGGAACAGAGTAAAGGAGACTACTTTAGGTCTTGCAGATCTTTAAATCCCGCAGATTAATAACCTATTAAATTTAACAGGAGGTAAAACCAGCTAGGCTTCCCCGCGGCGGTGGGTACCGGTGGGGTGTCCAAGGAAGCGTGCTACCACCCACACCATCCAACATAGGCGATCCGCGATGAGACACAGTTTGCAGGCGTAAGAAGTTATTCTGCATAACGAAAGATTAAACCTGATTGCAAAGAACCGCAAAAGGACCTCACGATACCACGTGAAGGGGCACTAAAACAGCAGATACAGCTCCGTGAAGATAAAAGGCAACATAATGATCAAAGGGAAGAACAACTCTGAATTAGCTATTGCTGCTCAGGAAGAGTTACCACAGATGAAAACATCAACTCAGTGCTCATCAACAGCCAAAAAAAGCAAAGACTTATGATGGAAAGGAATAAGCAAAAAATTGTCAAGAGTTGATAGAAGATAAAGTAAGAGAGAGGACAGACATCATTCTGTGTGTTCACAGAACATGCGTCTTTTGAAGCGTATGGGCATTTCCACCCACCGATCTCAAAAAAGACACAGTATAACTGAAAAAGATTCAGAAAATGAAATAAGGATAACCAAGATCGTCTGTGAGTCCTGGCTCTGTCGTCCCAAAGCCTTGCACCAGTTCTCCTGCTACATTGCCTTCTTTCCAAGTGCCGTGGGAGCTGCTGCACCCGAGTGTTGAGCACTGCTGGCAGGTCCACAAAGGCTGTATTGCTCTGGAACAACTCTCCATAAATTGTTTTCTTTAGAAAAGCATCCCTATATTCAACACAGTCAAGACTGCGGCTTTTAAAAGCCATTCACACAGCTTAAATAAGAGAAGTGTCATGGCTAGTAATGAAGTCAGGTTTGCTCTAAGATGTGAGGCGCATCCTGCTCTGCTACCTGCCAACCAGAATATTTATTTTATTGTCATCTTCTAGATAGTCTTGGTAGCCCCCAAGAAAATAAAAAAGAAAAATCAACATAATGCTGAAAAGAAAAGCAACATGGTATACAGTACAATACATACTAACATGTCTTACTGTCCATCTTATTTTTCTTGTTCAGGATGGCCTCTACCACTTAGTATTTAAAAGAAAGCACTTTCTTTTAATATGGAAAAGCGAGGAAAGTTGACTGCAAAGAAAAGAGGTTTCATCTCAGCTCTAATAATCAGCATTCAAATAAATCCTGTGTTCCTTCCCTCTTGGTCACCCTAGCTCGTTACTCATAAGACAAGTAACGGAAATGCTGAGCGCATCACTTAAGCTATGTCAAGGAGGAGTAAGTCATTATACGCCTCTCATCCTGCACCTTCCAAAGGCTGCGAACACGGCGTCTTGTCTGGAGAAGGCAGCGTGGAGCAGGACACGCAGTTACAGTACATTAGTACATTAAGAAAAAATTTAATTTTACTAGGGAATGGTCAGTGCAAAGCAGCTCATGGTTGATTTATGTTCTAAAGCATGAAATTCATGTTTGTCATCTTTGGCAACCGACGTCTGAGACCTAAATACATCCAGAAACATTGCTTTACCTTCCCAGCGCGACATGGAGTAGTATATTTTAACCACCCGTTCCTTGATCCTATTGTGAACCAAGACAGATTAAGGTGGATGCCGAGCTGTACTGCAGCGGACGACCTCCAACAAAGTGAGGGTAATGTCCTTCTGCCCGCTGGCAACAACTCCGCAGCACTGAGCACAACCGCTTGGTTTATTTGTTAACGATATATTCTGACTTTCACCATACAAGAACCATCCGACGACGTGCTCTGATGTACCGCGTACCCCTGCTTTTGACCCATTCCCCAGAATAAAGGTACATTTTGCTTTGGGAAAACTCCCTTCCCACCTGTCCATGACGTTTCAGTATTTCAGAGCGAATAGAGCCTACGGCTGTGTGTGTCCCAAGGGTGATTTATTTCTCTTTATGCCTTGCCCTGACAGCTGAAACGTGGCACTCCAGCAGGTAGCGAGATGAGCAGTCCTATCCTCTGCTTGTGTACAACCAGGCTGCTAAAAACGCATCTCATAACTCACTACCAGCTCACCTCTGCCACCAGCAGCAAAGGTGAAAGCTATAGGGGACAGGAGAGTTTAGTGCCTGGGAGGGTAACGCGAGAAGGTACTGTTATGTACCCTGGCATCTGGCTGTCTCAAAGATCCACCACAGCTACTCGCTCTTGTGTAACTGTAAGCACGGAGGCAATAAAAATGCCCGGCGAGGCGGAGCAGCTCTGCTTGCGTTCACCACAGACCCTGCAGTGCTGACGTACGGGACGCGCTTCCCAGGCAGCCGTCGGTGGCACGCACAGACTGGGAAAGATTTGCCTGTAGATGCAGTATGCTGCCAGCCAGCTTGTGGGATTTAATCCGAGTTGTAAACACAGAAAGGACGTGCTTCAGTTGTCACTCCTGTCATACCCTGCCAGTACGGGTGAAATCCAGGCGGGCTGAAGGCTCCACTGAACGCCTCTTAGTCCAGAAGCAGCTCCATACATCTGCAGCTCCAAAAATTCATTGTCTAGAAATGCCATCCCTGCTTCAGCAAACAAGCACGTTGTTTTTCACAAGTTTATTAAAGGGAACCTTAAGGAGAAAGCCATTTCCCTGCACAACCTGGCAATGCCTTCGTGTGACACTAAGTGGTACGTTCATTAATAATTACAAGTTGCTCACACAAAGAAACACAATCCTCGAGGGAGGGCATTTGAACGGAATGAAAACACTCAGTAACACTACTGACCAGAATTACTTTTCTACTTCACTGAGCATTTCTAATTTACTAATCACTGGAAGTTCATGACTTTCAGTGCATTAAAACCTATGAAAATATGACCTTTATGCTAAAGGTCAAAATGCCACTCCTAAGAAAAATCATCAGTACCAGACAACAAAGAGGAGCAAAATTCCTTTTTTGTATTTATATTGAAACCACTATCTTCACATTATCTGCATCTGAGTTTTGGGTACCTTTTGCCAGCCGTTTCAGGGTAAGATTTCCCTTCCTTCTCACTTGGGTTCCTAAACCACACACCCTCCTGCCTTTTCAGCCATTCGGTAACGTAGCATATAAAACTTTTATATAAAATGCATACATGTATGTCTACATAAAGATCTCGCTAAGAGAAACATGTTTTGTAAGTGCCCTTGCAGGTTTTTACATAATCTCGTAACATTGGAGGTGTAGGCAAAATAGCCGAAAAAACCCCCTTACTGACCAAGTATTTTGAGAGGATTTGTTAGAAATGAAAATATTTTGGCCAGACTTTCTATAGCTTTCCTTTCAAAGGATGAATTTGGAGTCAGGTTTTACTTCTAAGTGTTTTTAACAATTTGCTCTTTCACAGTGCTTTAAATGCTTAAAATTCTACATAATACTTCTACTTTTGTGATTTGCATTGTGACTCCAGGGAAAGCTCCAGGCAGGGTCTGGTCCACCTGAGCCTCACGCACCGTACAGTAAGAGCACGTTCTCACTCAATGACTCCCCGCCGTAAACCTTCCCACCGATGGAAGGGTTTCAGCAGACCCCACCGGTTATTGCAAGTCTTTAACCTCTTTAGAAAACCTCTCGCATGCTTCCACTCAGGTGTCCTATTGCATTGGAAAGAAGTTTTGAATAATGTTTCATTTCAGCCAAGAAATTCTGTGCATGACTGAGGAGAAAAGGAAAAAGGAAAGGATCGGATTGAAGGGTGAAGTTACAGCATCAGCAGCTGCACCAACAGCTCTCCGGGAATATCCAGAGCGCTTCATTCAGCCTGCTACCTCTGCCTAAAGGCAAGACTTCACGCTTCTTCACAAAGCTGTGAGTTATGAAGCATACTTATTTTTAACAGAGAGAATAACAACACTATAGTGAATAGACTCTCCCCAACTCAGAGAACAATGTATGTCGCATCCTCACATTTTATTACAGCTTTTTTTTTTTAACTAATTCAGCTTGTAGCATCTAAGCAGACAAGCGGATATCTGAGCAGAATTTTGAAGGAGGAAAGAATTCAGACAACATTGGTCAAATGAATCGGTGCTGAAACTAGAGGCGGGCAAGATGGGAACTTCAGTTTATTGCTAATACAGGATGTAAATATTACAATGCATTGTACAATATAATTGGCTGAGAGGTGCTGATTTCCACTTTTCCTGAAGACAGCATGATATGGCAGTATCTGACAAGATACATTGCCTCCTCAGAGTGGCAAAGATATCAGGATTCAAAACAGAGTGAAATCCACCATTTCCTCCGCCTGGTGCTCTTGCACTACTTCCGTAGAAAATCCAGAATCTAGATATCCTCGAAACATTGCTGAACCATCCAACTTCAGCAACCACCCAGACACAGCAGTGGAGCAAAAACCAGCACTTTACTGTATTAGCTAAGGTTGTAAAATGATTTAATGTTCAACAGTATTCAATAACTAAATATTGCCTGGTATATGAGGGAAAGGAGTCCAAAACAGGACAGAAGAAAAGAGTGCAGTGGCTGAAGCCCAAGCCCTAAGGGACCCGTCAGGTCACATAACAGGCTTTAACCTCAGAGATTCTGTGCTCATTCCTAGTCAGTGTTGTATCCAAAAGCATCAAAAGAGGCCAGAAATAAAAGGTGCAATCTTCTTGGGAAAGCTGGGGGATGGCAGAGAAAACCTGGAAGAAATAGATTCACTGTTCCTGGGCGTGAAGCACAGTGTGCTGGTCTGTGACTTGTGTCAAGGCCTTAAATACAGACACTTAATTACAGGTACCTTCTCCCCTTCGGTTCCTGCAACAGTAAATCAGCACTGGCATCACCAGTTCAATCCATGAGCACTTTACTATTGTAAAGGCAGATTTTAGGCTCCCGTAACAGCCTGTCTTTATAAGGCAACAGATGCGATGAGTAAAAACCTCCAAGTCCTTCACACACACAGACCACGTTAAAACCATCACTCCTGAAAAGGAAAATTACCTTTCCTTTTCCATCTGCTTTTCTTCCCATCTTTGTTACTGCACCTGTCGCTGCTGCTGCTGCTGCTGCTGCTGCTGTTCTCAGAGCTCTGAGAGTCGGACTGGGCATCACTGCTCTCCTCTGAGCCATCAGAGAGCTCCTTCAACCCGTCTGGAACATCCTTCTGCAAATGGAAGAAACAGATACAGTCACACACCCCGCAATAAACTCTCCCAATTAACAAAATTCTTAAAAGTAGCGGTTTTCTTCATTTACCAAGCACTGATTGTGGATTTTTTTTATGCTTCAGAGCAATGTCAGAACTGCTTAGCCACTGGCCTCAAACATGCACACTGCCTTCTGCGAGTCCATATAAAATACTTAACACAGTGCCCAGCTGGCACGTCTTTTACACCGCCCTCATCATCACTTTGCAGGTATGCTCTTCCTTAACTTCTTCTCCATCCCTAATCACTAACTCCAATACGTTCCCACTTTACGAGAAACCCAGTCAATTTTTGAACTTCATGATAGAAGAGAAACAGTTTGACGGCTCAGTGTCCCACGGTCCCAGGTAACGTTCTTTTTCCAACCAGGTCCACAGCAGCCCCTGGCCTGCCGGCACAGGTCCTTGCAAAAATGGACCTGGCAGGTGTTTCTGTGTGGTGAAACATCTGCGCTGCCAAAGGCTGCAGTGGTGGGTTCACATCCATTCATCTACGTGGTTTTAGGCTGTTAACAGTCAGCAGAGAACCAGCAGCGGTTTTCACCCTGTCCACACCTAAACCCAGACTGCCCTCTAGTGATTATCCCGCCGGATTCAGATTTTAACCTACATTGCAGATTAATGCTAGTTAGTGACAACAAACCGTTTTCCGCTGATGAGATCTTCAGTTGTGGTCGTTAATGTCACCACTGTCCAACCACCCAAAACTGCTCTGGACACCTCGCAGAGGCGCTGAGCCAAGAAGGGCAGGACAGCGGCCGGAGGCACCAGCTCATCCCCACCTGACACTGGCCATCCCCATCCCCGCTCCTGGCCCATCACCTCGGCCGAGTCATACGACACACCTGAAATTACGCTGTTGTCCTTAAGTCCTCATTAGTAATGTAACTGAAACCTGTAAATGTTTACTGTACAAGGCAAACAGGACAATGGTCGCAACAGCTGGACAAACAAATAGGGCTGTGTGCATCAGATGGCAAAAAATCCTTCTGTTAATACCCACTGGAAAGAGTAAATCAAAACACGTCTCCCTTTAACTGGAGACAATTGATTTCTTATCCTTTCTCTGAAATTAGAGCTATGACTAATTTCCACATGTAAGGCCAAAAAGTACTTAAGACGACACAAGTGTTATCAATTCAATTAATTCCAGATTTCTTCCATCAGCAAGGTGAACTAATAGCTTCAGATATTCAATTGTATTTTCATCCTCCACTTCAGAAATAAAGGTTTTAACTGCACATTAAAAGTTACTTGTAAACCACAGCGGAAGAGAAAATATCACCAAAAGCAGGGAAAAAAATCTTTCTGTCTGTATCAAGCGTCACCAAAGTTGACAATGATTAAGCTTGCATATCCCTAATGCTGGCACTCCCTTCATTAAACCTCCTTTATAGCTTAACCTTTGGAAAGATAATTTAGTCACCTGAGACGCAGTAATCACACATTTATCTATTTCAGTTTTTTCAAGATGTCTCTTTCTAAGTCTTCTGCTGAGAGAAGATGAAGCCTCGGCGTGGGGTGCCTTCACCTCCTGCCAGGTAAGGAGGAACACACGAGCAGCTGGAAAGCCTGGACTTCTTGGCTTTTCCTGACTTGGCATTTCTGGTGGGAGGGGGTAAAGATGACGGAGCCAGACTCTTCTCAGTGGTGCCCAGAGAAAGGGAGACAGGCAACAGGCACAAACTGAAACACATAAATTCCACTTCCACGCAAGTAAAAACTTCTTTACTGAAAGAATGAGGAAGCACTGGAACAGGTTCCCAGAGAAGCTGGGGAGTCTCCATCCTTGTAGGAGTTCAAGACTAGATCATGACTGGCCGCGGTCCTGAGCTGCCTGCTCTAGTTGATCCTGCATTAAACGGTGGGTTGGACTAGACAATCTCCAGAGGTCCCTTCCCACCACCACCATCCTGCAATTCTAACCTCCCCTCGCTTCCGCAGACAGCAGCCACGTTAGCCAACAAAGCCCATACAATGTCAACGGCTTTCCTTCCAGCTGGGCCTCTTCCTACCAGTGAAAGATTTTCATCAGTATCTTCTGATGCGGTGTCCACCGCCTGCACTGTGGATCCTGCGTTCTCTCGAAATTTCCATGCAAGATGTCAGTATAAGATCTCCATTACCATCAACTCCTGCATGCACCTGCAGCTCACCCTATTGCAAGTTCTGCTTTCGAAGCAGAAGTGAACTCTCAACTGCAGAACCGTCTTCTCCAGACTATACTTGTTCTTCTTTCAATAAGTGAACTTATTCCTTTTAATCAAATAAAATTTGGTCTCTTAGCTATCAGTCCTATAAATGCATCTGGTAAGATGGCGTGCACTGGTTCTAGTATCTGTGCTAAAAGTTGAACTAGTCAGACTTCTTCAAATAGCACGTTAAAAATATTCCTCCAGACTGGAATCTTTCAGGCTGCTGGCGAACAGCAAATGCCCCACATAGCATGGAAAAAATCAAAGGTAAATGCGTAAGAGCAGAACTACAACACGATCATCCGAACAGGGACAGACGCTATTTTGTATTCAACATTAGCAATGAATTTGGGACCAACAAACCTGAAGAAGGCAGGCAGAAACACAACCAAAAATCATCAAGCATAAAAACACTGAGAGGTCTACGTGAAGGTCAATGAACCGACGTACCAGACTTCCAAACAACGCGCCTTGCAACAACTCGACACGGCTGGTGGTTGCTGGGATAAAGGCAAACCTCGGTGCAAGCAGGGGCCGCGTGGTTGCTGCCGTGCCATGGGACTGGGAGCTCACGTGCTGCACCGAGAGCAAGCGTGGCTGAAGGAGGGGGACAAGGGAGCATCTGCAGCCGCTCAGCGTCCCTCCTCGGGCAAAGACACCCCCAGCATTCCCACCTCGATGGCAGTGATGCAGAGGAATCCAAGAGAGAAACAAGGGCATCCAGAAGCGAAAAAAGTCTGAGACAAATATACACAATGTGTGCGTGCCTCGCACATCGGTCTTGTTTAGATTTTTCTATTTTACTTTTTACGTCTTTGATCTTTTCTCTCTCAACCTCCTGCCAAAATGACTCCAGTTTCTCAGCGCCAGCATATCAATTTTCAGTCTAAATCCTACAAGCGTCCATGGAAGGTGAGAGCATCAGCTTCATTAACGTTATCCAGTCATGGGTCTTTTCAATGCAAAGTACAGGGGGAAGCAATAAATAAAAATAAACAGAGACACAAACTGGATAAGCAGCAGGTACTAGAGACAACGCCAAAGACCAAGAGGCTCCAGTCACTAACTAAAGGGCCAA